TTCACAATAGCTAAACTGCGGAAGCAGCTGAAGTGTCCATCGACGGATAACTGAACAAACGTGGTCCGTCCATATGAGGGAACTTGATTCTGTCTTAGGAAGGAAAGGGATTCCGACAGCTATGATGACACGGATGGACCCCCGAGGACGTTACGCTGTGAAATAGGCCAGTCGCAAAAGGGCAAATATCTTACGATTCCACTCAGATGTGGTCCCTGGAGGGGTCAGATTCCTAGAGACAGAAAGCAGAATGGTGGCTGCCAGGAGTTGGGGAGGCGGAGTGGTGTGAGTGTTTAATGAAGGCAGAGCTTCAGTCCTTCATGAAGGAAAGTTCTGGAGATGGATGGCGGTGATCGTGGCACAACATTGGGAATTAGTTTAACACCATTGAACCAGCCACTTAAAAATGGTTAAGGGCGTATTTTATGTTATGTGTATTTTACCACAAGAAAACATTAGCCAAAACTTGCATGATGTGCCCTTAGTATAGATGTGCTGTCATTTAGTCCATATTTTCTTATCGAGGGGCATTCAGATTGTTTCTAGTTTTTTCCCCCCTATTACAAGAATAGCTTCAGTAAATATTCTTGAACATAGGTCCTGACAAACTGGAATTCTGATTTCTGTAGGATAGATTCCCAGATGTGGGCGACTATCATTTTTATTTTACTCGGGAGTTCTCACAGGAGTGCATGGGAAGGCCTGTTTCCCTTCACATTATCTGACTTTTTACTTTCCTTTTCTTTTGAGACGGAGTTTCGTTCTTTTTGCCCAGGCTGGAGTGCAATGGCGCGACCTAGGCTCACTGTAGCCTCCGCCTCCCGGGTTCAAGCAATTCTCCTGCCTCAGCCTCCCGAGTAGCTGGGATTACTAGTGCTCATCACCACTCCCAGCTAATTTTTTATTTTTAATAGAGATAGGGTTTCTCCATGTTGGCCAGGCTGGTCTCGAACTCCCGACCTCACGTGATTCGCCCACCTTGGCCTCCCACAGTGCTGGGATTACAGGTGTTAGCCACTGTGCCTGGCCTTTACTGTTTTTCCAATGTGATGGGTGCACCATGGCATTTCCCAGTCCTGGGTGTAGAGCAGGTGAGCATGAGCTTCTTGGCTAAACAGCGGGATCCTAACCTCCCCTTCCATGCTTGCTAATTTCCCTTTTCTTTGCCAGAAAACATGCTTCTTTTAGGCTCCATGCAATAGAAAGTCTCCACTACCATATTTGAGGGGGGGGTGTCCTTAACAGATGACATCTGCAAAACAAAACAAAACCAAACCAAGGCCGAGTGTGGTGGCTCACGCCTAACAACCAAGCACTTTGGGAGGCTGAGGCGGGTGGGTCACTTGCAGTCAGGAGTTCGAGACCAGCCTGCCCCCTACTAAAAATTTTTGTATTTTTAGTAGAGACAGGGTTTCACCATGCTGGCCAGGCTGGTCTCAAATTCTTGATCTCAGGTGATCTGCTTGCCTCAGGTTCCCAAAGCGCTGGGATTACAGGCGTGAGCCGCCACACCCGACCTATTGGTTTTATTTCTCTGGAGACCCCTCACTACTACAGGTACGCCTCCCCGGGCCTCAGTTTCCCCTTCTGTCCATCAGTGAGGCTGGAGGCTGCCATGGGCTGTGAGCTCACACCCAGCCCTCCTGCCCCTGCCCCTGCTCCTGGGGCAGCCTGTACAGGCCAGGCAGTGGCCGAGGCCCACAGTCCCCACCTGGCCTCTGTGGTTCAGCGGCTGACCTCTCAGCCCAGAAATGGAAACATTTTCTCTTGCAAAACAGAAAGTGTCACCATTAAACCCTCACTTCCCACTGGCTCCCCCGGCTGGCCCCGGCCCCCTCCGTCTGCTTTCTCTGCCTGTGAACTGGCCCCTCTGGGAAACTCGTATGCGTGGAGTCACACCGTGTTTGTCCTTTTGTGGCTGTGTGCCTCGTCGTGATGTCCTCGAGGCTCCTCCATGCTGCGGCGGGCGTGGGAGCCCCTTCTGCCTGAGGCTGAGTGATCCTACCCTGCAGTGGACACCCGGCTGCTGCTTCCACCTGGCCGCTGTTGTGAATTGTGCTGCTGTGAATGTGGTCCACAAACGTCCATCTTTTTAAGGCTAATTACTATTCCATGTACGTAATAATTTGATTTTGTAGTTTAAATTGAGATAAACTTAAGACCTCAAACCAACCTTGGATTCTGTGGTCAAGTAGTGGGTGGACGATGGTGCTCTGTGCCTGGGGCAGGCGTCCTGCTCTCTCACAACCCTGGCCAGCGCCCCAGCAGTGTCCCCTCCGGCCACACCCCTGGCCTGGTTTTGTAAGGCTGGACAAACACAGGGGGCCCCGACTGGCGGGTGGGGCAGCCTGACCGGGGTCAGAGGTATGGGGAGAAAACATGGAGGTCCACCCAAGAAGGAGAGCGATTGTGTCACAGTTGAGGGGGCCACGGCGACTGTGTGATCACGCGGTCTCGGTCACCCTCTGGAGGACCCTCCACATCCTGAACTCTCCAGAAACTCAGGAGCCTCACCCAGACGCAAAGTGAGGTTGGTCCACACTGGAGTCCTGACCCATGAGGGCTGATGCCCCCGGGACTCACAGTGCAGCCCCTCGCACGGCCCCACCAGCCCCCAGGGCCTTGGCGCTGCAATCGGGTCGCCAGCCTTGCCTCCTGCAGCCGGAGGAGCACCCGCCGCTCACCTTCGCTCCTGCTGGGAGCTCTGCCCAGAGCGCCGCCCAATGCCCTGGAGCCTGGGCTCCATCCACGCGGCCCTCGGACCTGCGCCCCCGCGCCGAGGCGTCCAGGGCCGGTGGGGGGCGCGGTGGGGGGCGCGGTGGGGGGCGCGGTGGGGGGCGCTGCGGGGCGGGAGGGCGCGGGAAGAGCGCGCGGGCTGCAGGGGCGGGGCGCGGGCCAGGCTCCGGGGGCCGAGGCGGGGGTCTGGCCGCACTCTCAAGCGCCGGGTCCCCCGCGCCCCCTGCGCCCCCGGCAGCCCCCGGCGACCCCCGCGCGCCCCCGCGCCCCCCCCAGCGGACCCCCGCGCCCCCCGCGCCCCCCCACGACCCCCGCGCCCTCCGCGCTTCCGCCCACGACTGTCCGGGGAGCCCCGAGCCGGCCACCCCCGGGCGCTCCTGAGGCCGCGGCAGTGCGTGCGAGGCCGGGACGACCCGCCCGGGGCGCGTGGGTGGCGGGAGCGCAGCCGGCTGCGACGCGGCGCCGGGGACGGAAAAAGTGAGTGCGCGGCGCGGGGCGGCCTGACGGGAAGGCGGGGGGCGCAGCGCTGACGGCGCCGCCTCCTCTCCGCGGCCGCCATGGAGGACGCCGGCCCCGCGCGGCCCGGGCAGCACCGCCCCCGCCGCCCGCCGCTTCACGCTCGGTCCGAGCTCCGGTCTTCCAGCGGACTCGGGCGTGTGGGTCGGTTCGGCCGCGTCCTTCCTGAGTCGGGGTCTCGTCCGCCGCCCAGGCCGGGGCGGGGGCGCCTCCGTGTTCCGCTGCGGCCGCGACCCCGCGCTCCGGGACCCTCCCCTCGGCCTCCGGGGAGCCGGGGCCGCCCCCGGGCGCTTGTTAAGCTCCTCTCCGGAGGCCGGGTCTCCGCGTGCTGCCCGGGCCGCTCTCAAACGCCCGCGCTCCGGGACCCTCCCCTCGGCCTCCCCAAGCGCGGGGACGACGGGCCGCGCGCCCGGCCTCAGTTAGGTTTTTCACTGTAATGTGGCATTTTTGACGCTCGGATGGCCCCCGTGTCATTTTCGCGCCGTCCTGCCCCCCGCGGCGTCCCCTCGTGGTGCCCGGCGACCTGACCCTCGGTGGGGAGCCCTGGGCCCCCGCCCTGCTCCTGCGGCGCCGCGCCTTCGCCGGTGACCCCTGGGAAGCGTTTCCGCGGGGGCTCGGGTGTTGACGGGGCACAGGGCTAGTGCCCGCTGCCTGCCAGCCAGCGCCCGCGGGCTCCCGCTTGGCTTTCCGCCAGCCCCGCTCCTGCGCCCTGCGGCCTCAGCAGCCGCTCGGTGTCCGAGCTCTGGGCCTGCGGGGTGTAGTTCTAACTTGTATTTTTGTTATTGAGAGAAACTGAGCACCCTTCCACTATTTTGGGGTGTATGTATGTACACATGCACTGCCACATGTATGTAAGGCACGCATGCACACGTATGTATACACACCTGCACACACACCCGCACGCCATACCTCGTGTATGCACACATGCATATTTGCACGCACACATGTCAGCACGCGTAGCGCCGTGCACATGTAGGCAAGCTCGCCTCGTCTCTCTGTAGAGGTGTGCTGACATATTCGCTCTTTGGTGATGGTGCAAATATTTTCCCTCAGTTTGTTTATGATCTTTTTTGCCGAGCTAAAGTTTTTTGTTCTCCACTATACGGAGTTCAGTGTCTCAGTCTTTTCTCTCATGGCTCCCTGACGGTTGTCCTTTGTCTTTGGGGATCCCTTCTCCTCCCGCACTGTAAGAATGCACCCACGGTTTCTTGTTTCTTGTAGGGTTCTGTTTTTATGCTTCTCTCTGCTGCATTTGGCATTTATGCACATGAGTCTAAGTTAATACTTTTCCAAATGGCTATCCCGGTCCCTGTGCAGCTGGTTAAAAAGCCTCTTTCCCTGCTCTGATTTGGGTCGCAGGGACTGGGCCTGTTCTGTCTCTTCTGGGCTAATCCCACCTGCTCACATTACAGTCAGTTTCCCCAGAGCTCATAAAGCTGATCCCTTTTCACTTTCTTTTCATGGTTTCTTTTGGCTGTTACTTGCTTGTTAATTTTTCCGTATGAGCATTATAGTTCCAGAAGTGTGGTTTTTATTGGGATGGTGCTAAATTTACAAACTGCGGAGGAAGAACCCGCATGTGTGCAGCGGCGGTGCCTGGGGGCCTGGGGTCCGGGTGCCTGGAGCTCAGCCTCTGCACAGGCTTCCCGCATTTCCAGCATGGGCTCTGCTGGTGGAGCCGCGTCTGCAAAGACCCGGGCTGCTTTCCCTCCCAGGCCTGGTCTGCGGATCTTGCTGGGAGTTCCCAGAACGTCCCCAGTACAGGCACGGCAGCTCTGCCCCTCGCCCCCTCCAGGACGGGGCTTCAGGGAGGCAAGCACAGAATGAGCCCCCGGGAGGGGCAGTGGGTGGGTGGCTGTGCTGTCCGAGGGCCTGGCAGGGCTCCCTTCTCTGCACTGTCCCTGCTGCCAGCAGCCAAGGACCCCAGCAAGGTGATGGGGCTCAAGCAGGCGTGGTCCTGCCTCCCCCGACACCCCCACCCTGTGTACTTGGGGAGGGACCTGCAGATGCTGTGTCCTGCCCAAAACCCCGGGCCCCTCCCTCATAGCCCCGGGGAGTCCTCCCATCCCGCTGTGGGGGCCCTGGCAGAAGGCATCACCCCTGCCTGTAGGGACTGGCGGGCAAGGGGACACGGGGATGGGGAGGCTGGAGCCAGGCAGGCACCGGCACAGCCACTCAGGGACGCCTGTGCCTGGCCAGGAGGCCTGTGGGCAGGGGCCATGGGACCCCCAAAAGGCTTGGATGTGGGGAGGATGGTGCCCCCGCCCTGTTAAGTTGGAGGCACTTCTCACCGGAGGGCTGCATGTGTGAGTGGGGCAAGCAGGGCTGGGAGGGCCTGTGTGTTTCTGGGATGGTGAAGAAAAGGCCTGACCCGGGCCAGGCTCCAGGAAATGGCCAGCACCTTCCACACGCAGCCTCAGGCTGGCCACAGCCCTGCCTCTCCCTGGAGACCTCCTTCCCTCCTGCCCACTGCCCCCACAGCCGCCCAACAGGACAGAACTCTTTAGATCGAGCTCATATTTAATTATAATAGAACCATAAGGAAGGGAGTCCCTCATCCCAGGTGCCCGCCAGCCTCCTGGATACTGGTGGGCCTGCCCCAGGAGTGGAGTGCAGTGTGTGGATGGGAGGGGTGGCCAGGCCACAGCGGGATGCCCGGCCCCGGGGGTCGCCTTTACCTTCCCAGCCAGGCCCTGGTGGGAGCCCGGACAAACGCCTTTACATAATCGTGTGAATGGGTGCTTAGGCCCTGGATGCCAAGGAGAACCCCCAGTGTGGGTGAATGGGGGGCCCTGGGTGCCTGTACCAGTTCCCCCAAACCACAGAGCTTGCCACAGCTAGGAGGGGCTAGTCAGCCCCAGCCCTGCCCCCGACCAAGGCAGCCTAGGACGTCCCTTACCTGAGTCGTGAGAAGGGCTGGGGTGGTGTGGCGGGGAGGCCAGAGCGCTGGCTGGGCCTGAATGGCCTCCGGTTCTGCCTGGCCTCTTACTGCCTCAGTTTCCCTGCCCCACAAAAGGCCTGAGGCACTGCCTGGGCACGTGTAAGGTGGAGGGGGTTCCTGCCCCGCCATCACAGCCAGGAGCTCTTGGAGCCTTCCCTGAAACTTCTCTAGGCCTGGGAGAGCAGCCAGCTCCCAGGGAGTCCCCAGCCCCACGCACCTCCCACCCCGTGCCCAGTCTTGGGCCCTGTGTCCAGGGTGTCTCGGGATGCCCCTGCCACGGACACCTTGGCTGCTCCAAGGCAGTCTTCAACCAGGCCCCCAAGTTCAGGCAAGGGGCTCTGGGGGCGGCGGCAGGCAGGGCCACGGTGTCTTCAACCCCAGGCAGCAGCAGCAGCAGCAAGATTCAGGGAGCCGGACGCAGGCAGCCCTGTCCAGGCATCCGGCCCTCCCTGTAGGGTACGGTGACACTGCTGCCTGGGTCGCTGTGGGCATCCAGACATGAGTCTTGCCGTGGGGCTGTGCCTGGCAGGGCTGTGCCCGGTGGGGCTGGCAGAGGTGCAGGACAGCACCCCTGTAACCCCCAGGCAGCTCAGCCCCTGGGTGGCCTGCACCGCCCTGCATGCTGCCTGTGCCTCCTGAGGGAAGGAGCTGAGCCTAGGCCCGCGGTGGAGGGTCTGCAGGATGTTGGTGGCCAAGGAAGCCCGTCAGAGGGGCCAAGAGCAGTGTCCGTCCTCTGGCCTTAGCGGCCGGGGACTCCGAGGGCCTTCGGCTGAGCCCCTGCGGGCCGGGAACGAGGCGCCCAGCTCACTGGAGAACACGATGGTGGCGTACTCCGTCTGCTCAGGGACACAGGGCGTGGGGGGCTCCGGGGTCTTCTCTCGCCACTGGAAGTCCAGCTCCCCATAGTCCATGGAGAACACAGGCACGGCTGAGGGGTCCTCCTTCTTTCGGGAGAGAGGGAGGGGGAGTCAGCCCCCACGGCCCACCCCAGGAAGGAGGCATGTGGCTCCACAGCCTGGCTACAGTGCGGTCACCGAGCCTGCGCCCCTCACGGAGGGCCGCTTGCCCTGGGCTGTCCCATTACTGCCCTCCGTGTGACCTGGGACGCTATCCCTCCTCTCTGGCTCAACGTCCCCATCTAAAATTTCCCTGGCATTCTTGTAGATTTAGGATTCCAAAATGTGACTTTTCAAGCTCTCCTCTCTCCAGCGTAAGGTAGGAAGTGACCGAGCCCACCCCTCACAGGCGGCCACACGCATGGGCCATTCACCCCCTGAGACTGCAGGCAGGCTGGGGCCCCAGGTCGTAGCTTTAGGGATTGAGGTGGCGGCTGGGGCCGGGGAGGCGGGGTCCTGGCCCGAATGGCGTGCGAGACCTGCAGGCCATGTGCTTCCACCTCTGCCCACCCGGGAAGGACGGCACAAGGAGACACTCACCAGGGGCTGGTCGGTGCGCTGGACTCCCATGGCCCCTGAAGACAAACACACTTGGGATCACCAGGCAGACCCTCAGCAGCACTCCCCAGGGGAGGGTGGGGGTCTTAGCCCAAGAGCCTTCATCACTGGTGGGGAGGAGAGGAAGGGTGGAGGGAGGGGAGGCCGGAGTGAGGGCTGTCAGCAGGGTTGGGGGAGCAGGCTGAGGGGCTGGGGTAACGTTACCTCGTGCAGCCCGGGGGCAGATGGCAACCAGGACCCAGGCCAGCAACCCCAGGCTGGCCAGCAGTCCGACCACGACGCCGACCATCAGGCCTTGGAACTGGCCGGCTGGCCTGGGTGAGGGGCTGGGGTGGGCTGTGGGCACATCTGGGTTTCTCTCTGGAAGGGCACAAAGGTTGGGGGTTAGGATGGGGTCAGGTTGGAGGGTCAGGGGCAGGGTGCTGGGCGTGGGACAGAGCCCTGTCCTGGAGCCGTGGGGGTCCCTGCCCTACCACCCTGGGGCTCATGTTCCTGTGCAGGAGGGGCACCCACCCCGGCCCGTCCCTGCCCGCCCCTGCCCGGGGCCTCTTAGGCCGTACCTGTCACCCTGAGCTCTGCTCTCGGGCTCTCTTTGATCTGCGCTGTGGGGGCCAGGGAGATGGCCCCGCAGAGGTAGGTGCCGCTGTCATCACGCCGGGCCCCGATCACGCTCATACGGAAGTCGCGCCCGTTGGGCAGTTGCGTGACTCGGAAGCGGTGGTCGTGGCCCGGCTGGCTGCGGTCCTCAGGGAAGGCGGCCAGCTTGTCCGTCTGGTTGCTGGGGCTCATGCGGTACCAGTTCAGCACGAAGCTACCCGACGTGTTGGAGAAGCTGCAGGTGAAGGTGGCGTTGTCCCCCTCGGCCACCATCAGCAGGGCTGGGGAGAAGGTGGGGGGGTTCCAGGGCCTGTCCCGGGAGTCTGAGAGATGGAGAGAGGTCAGGAAGAGGCTGGGCGGCCCTGCAAGGCATCCTTGGCCACCTGCCCACCCACTTTGGGCAGCAAGGGCTCTGGAGGGGCCACCCCAGCCGGGGTGTCCTTGGTGAGTCTCTCAGGGCCTCTGCTGCCCGGAGACAGCCGCTCGAATCCACGGCAAGGCCTCTTCCTTCTACTTAAGGCGGGGCTTCTGCCCTGCGCCTGGCTCTGACCTAGATCCCCCCGGTTTCCTACTAAGAGCCTTCACCCCCTTCCCCGTTGAGGCCGATGCCCAGAGAGAGCTGTTCGGGGGCTACCCATCCCTGGCCCCTGACCCTTGGGCATCCTGGCCTGGTCCTATCTGCACTGCTCTGGCACAGGGGAGTGTGACTGTGCTGTGTGGGTGGGGGTGCTGCCATGGAGACCCCAGCCCTGGGAGGAGTGCGGCCCCTCGTCAGTCTTTGCCCTGTTTCCAGGACAAGCTCAGAGCTGGGAGCCACACCCAGCTCCCAGAGACCACGTGGCGTGGACATGACTGCCATGGGCAGTGGGCGGTGGGGCCTCCACATTTTCCAGCAAGACCGTGGAGACTGGAGCTCATAGCAAAGATGCTTCAGAAACCAGATGAGCCATTGCCTCCTAAGTGGACAGATGTGGGCCCCCAACACTGGGCTTCCTAAGACAAGGACCTACTGAAGCATTTGCCTGCCAGGGCCAGGGCCAGGGCCTGGGAAACCCACGCGGCAGCCGGGGGGCTGCAGATCTTCTGCAGGTGGGGGCACCGCACAGGCTTAAGACCCAGGCCCGAAGATGCTGCACAGCAGGTGGTTTTCCCTGCCTGCCCACCCACATGTCCCATGCCGCAGGCTTCCCCAAATAAGGCGCCAGCCCTGCACTGTCAGTCCCGGGGGCTGTCACTCAGCCCCAGCTCTGTCCTGTGCCTGCATGGGCGCCCCCCACGTGGCGATACAGATTCCGGGCCCTGGTTGCTATGGCTGCAGTCAGGTGGATTCCAAGGCGGGTGGTGATGATAACCCAGGGAGCAATCAGCTCAGAGGACAAGAGGCTGGCCCAGGGCCTGCTGGCTGGATGCCAGAGGTCAGTGGGGCTGTGCCTGGACCGACTCCTAGTGCCCACCCCACTGGGTACCTCCCGGGGGATGCGCAAGGTGTCTGAAGTGACCTCGAGTGTCCCTGTTCCCTCTGTGCCCACGGCCTCCTGGCTGCCCAGCACTTGCCTCCTCCACCGTTGTGTCTGTCCCCCAGCATCCTGGTGGTGTGCCCAGACGTGGCAGGGGCGGGGCTGGCTGCATCGGGGCTGCTGAGGTGAGCCCCACTCTCTGAGACCTGAGACTGCCGCTTGTCTGCTGACTGGCCAGGGGACGCCCCCTGCAGACGGTGGCAGGGCAGACCCGGGCATCTCCCAGCCTATCAGGAGTAGGTTTTGACCAAGGTGGGCTACAGGGCAGTGTGACTCTCAGGGCCAGTGGGCAGCCAGGCCAGGGCAGCGGGACCGCAGTGGGGACACCCGTCCAGCACTGGGAGACCTGCCTGAATGGAGGAAGATGGGCTCCCAGCATCAGGGCCAAGCAGGCTCCTGGGAAGCAGCCTGGGGCAGGGTGGCTGCAGCTGTCACGGGGGCTGGGCTGGGGCACAGAGCGTGGAAGTCCCGCGCCCTCTGGGTTTCTGGGGTTGCAGTGGGGACCCACTGGCCCCAACCCTGCAGGTAGCCCCTCAGGGGCTCTGCCTCCCAGGCCAGGGCTGCATGTGGCTGTTGGCACAGACAGGCAGGTGAGGGACCTATGAGCAGGGACCCTGCATGGTTAGGAAGTACAAGGACACCGCTGAGGGACCCCCCCAATGTGGGACGAGATGCTGGCAACAGGGCCAAGGCTGCTGCGTATCTACACTGGCACATCCACGGAACCACTGGTGCTGTCCCTTAATTAAAAACATAACTGCTGTCTATTTATTTGCACACCTTGGTGGAGAGACCTGCTCTTGGCTTGGTCTATGCTGGTTGATGATGGGCTCGACCCTTTTCCTGTCTGGCCTTGAGCCAGGACCCTGGGGTCCTGCACACCCCCCATTTTGGAATCCACCCTGGGGAGCACGCCCAGTTGGGCCCCTTGGCCTCCCCTGCCCCCACTGACTGGCTGGGTGGGGTGGGAGCTACCTTGGTGTCTGAGGCTCAAGCAGCCCCCTCTCCCGCCTCCCCCAGCGGCTCCCAGAGAAGCCCAGTGTGGGGAGCTGAGTGGTGACTTCTAGCAGGGCCTGCCTCACCTCAGTCCTCTGGCCACCTCCTCCAGGAAGGCTTCCTGGCCTCCCTTGGCGGGTAGAATCTACTAAGAAGATGAATATTCAGAAATGACCACTGGCTGGTCGTGGGTCGAGTTGGATTTGAGGAGTTTCTATGGGATTCCACTGTTTCCCCAGGTGCTCCCTCTTGGATCCGTGTAGGATCGTGGGTTGATGGGAGAAGGCTGTGCTCTGTGCAGGTCGGGAGGGAGACAGCCCGTCCTGGGGTGTGGAACAGGCCGTGAACATCACGGGTCGTGAGGCGGGGGCGCTGGCTCCCACAGAGAGACCCCGTTTCAGGCTGCGCTTTCCAGAAGTGCACGGAGGAGGCTGTGCCTGCCCCACGGCTGGGCCGGAGGAAGCAGACCCAGCAGCTCTGACTGCTATCCCACTAAAGACAAGGAAACTGGCCGCAGGCTGTGCCAGGGTGAAGAGAACAAGCTTGTCCCTAGAAGGCCTGGCAGGGGCGAGGAATGGGTCTTCTGAGTTCTCCCAGTCGTGAGTGTGTGTGGAGGTGGGAAGGGCCGTGGGAAGGGCTGTGGGCCGAACGGAGTCCCTACAGATTCCCCGTGGAGGCTCTAACTCCCGTGACCTCAGAAGGTGGCCTTATGAAGAACAGGCTGATGGCAGCTGGGACTAGGTAAGATGAGGGCACGGGGCCCTGTGGGCGCTGACCCAGCCCGCCTGGTTTCCTGCACAGAGTCACGCACGCAGAGATGAAGGCAGAGCCTGGTGGATAATTCCGCAAGACCCAGAACACAGGGTGGCCAGAAAACCCCCAGCCAGGAGAGGCTGAGCAGAGCCCCTCAGAGCTGGGGAGCCGACCTGGTGCAGCTCTGCCCAGCACATCCAGCCCCTGGATGGCAGAGGACAGTCTCTTTCGAAGCTGCAGCCGGGAGGGAGATGCTGAGCAGAGCCCTGAGGCTTTGAAGCCACTTGGTCTGTGCAGCTCCAGCCGCCCAGTCCCCAAAGCACATGTGTCAGTATTCTCAGTTATCCATTCTAGGTGAGGGATATTCATTGTTGTGTTTTTAAACTTTTTTGGTATATTTTTCAAATTAGTAGGTTGAAAATAATTTAAAAATCTGACTTTAAAAAGCTCATGCCTATAATCCCAGCACTTTGGGAGGCTGTGGTGGGAGGATCATTTGAGCCCAGGAGTTTGAGACCAGTCTGGGCAACCTAGTGAGACCCCTGTCTCTACGAAAAGTGGAAGAAATTGTCCCGGTGTGGTGGTGCGTGCCTACAGTCCCTGCGGATGGCTTGAGCCCCGCAGGTCGAGGCTGCCGAGATCACACCTTCACACAGTGAAGGCACTCCAGCCTGGGCGACAGAGCGAGACCCTGTCTCTAAAAGAAATGAACAAAAAAGTGTCCCGGCTGGGCTGGGCAGTTTTCACAAATGACCTGATTTAATCCTCAGGACACAGCGTCGCCAGGAGGCCTTCTCACCTAAGATCCCGAAGCCCACGGAGCAGCCAGTATGGGCCAGGTCTTGCCAAAGCCCGGAGCTCAGGGCGCGGCTCTGATGAGCTCACGGTGGTCCCGCGCCAGAGCAGAGGCTCTTACTTACGCTCCTGCCATCACATATGGGCTTGCAAGCGACCGGGTTTGGGAAATCTCATAAAACATGAGGGAAACACGCCTGAGGCGGGAGGGGTGGCTGCGGGGTGACCAAATAGCAAACGCAGTGGGTCGTTCCAGGGGGAGAAGACACATCCCAGAAGGAAGACCCTGCGGCCAGGTGGCTGCGTCTGGGTCAGGACACATGGGACCCCACTGATGCCCACTGCACCATGCGGAGTGCCCTGTGCTGAGTGTTACGGGCTGTTGGGACAGGGGAACTGAGACTGTAGCCCCTGAGAGTCTCCCCTGCACCAGTGTGGGCACCTGAAGCAGGAGTGTCTGGCTGCAGACCCCGACACAGGGGAGGCTCGGCCCCCCTCCTGCCTCAGCTCTTCCTCCCCGTGACAAGCGCCCCCTGCACTCCTCTGCTCCCCCCACGAATGTCTTGCTGGGGTGCGTTTTGGCCACAGCATCTCCAGTTCTGAGACTCACGGGCCTCCCTGAAGAGGCGGCACTGAGGCGCAAAGGCAGGGCCCGGGCACCCAGGAGCAGGCACTGGGAAAGGGGCTGAGGCAGAAGCCCCCAGCACCTGCCATGGTGAAGGGGCACCAGGACCCCCAGGACAGGAGCCTCGAGGGGTATCAGGGCCCCTCGTCTTATCCTCTCACTGGCCTCACACCCCTGTGCCCAGCAAGGCCCAGAGGGACCGCCTTGGGCTGGGCCTGAGGAAAACCACCCTCCCTAGACCTCTGTATTCTCAGGCGCAGGCTGGCGGGGCACAGAGGCTCAGCAGGCATAGAAGGCTGAGGGGTGGGTTGTGGACACAGATGGCCCAGGGGCACCGGCAGCCCAGGAAGAGCCTCCCCTTCTCGAAGACCTCTCCCAGGGACTGCCGGAACAGGGCTTGGGAGTGCCCTGGAATCTGGGCAGAGATGCAGGCGGGGCACAGCCCCCACCCAGGAGGGTTCCTGGAGGCAGAAGAACCAACCTCACTCAAACAGGTACCCCTTTGATACAATTAGAAAAATGAGTTCATCTAAACTTGACGTTGTAAAGCCAAGGTCAGTCCCATATGGGGCTGGTGCCACCCTTAGGAAAACTCAAGTGAGAATCGAGGCTGCCCGGGCCGGGAGAGCCACGCATAGACTCACCCCGGCCAAGGTGGGGGCTCTGGGCAGCCTGACCTGCCATTCTACCAAGACACGCAGCACCCAGGACTGGCTGAGATAGGACAGAGGTCCTGCCTGCCCAGGAGCAGAGAGGGGACTTGGGCCCCGGGAGGAGTTACCTGGGCAAGGGGCAGCTCGGGTTTAGGGCAGAGCTAGACTGCCCGCCATGGCACCCCCCCCACCTGCCAGGGGCTGAGGGTGGAAGGTCCTTCCAGACCCCTGACCCCAGGACACCTGACCGCTGACCCCACCTACCTAAGAACCATCCTGGCCGCCAGCCCAGTTGTAGCACCGCCCAGACGACGGGCCAGGGCGCCCGTGGGACCTGCATGCCGGGAGCAGCCCGGCCAGTGCCAGCCGCTGCCTTTACTGCTCAGGCAGATGTGAGCGGAAGGGAAACTGTCCCAGGGAGGTCGAAGGGAGGGTGCCCGCCCCTTGCTCCCGCCCCCTCTTCCTCCACCTCCATGTGGGTGGGAGTGACAGAGGCAGTGCTGGGGGAGGGGGAGAGGAGGGTGGGGGAGGGAGAGAGACAGAGACAGAGGAGATGGGGAGGAGGTGGGCCCGCAGCCCCCACCCCGTGGGGGTCTCCTCAGCCTAGGCCCCTCCTCCATTCTGTGTCTCTGCTCACCACTGTGGCCTCTTTCCAGAACCAGCCGGAGCTGCCCTTCCTGAGGCTGTGGGATGGGGGCAGGACCTCCCCCTCCCCACCCCCCACCGTCTCCCTGGGGGCCAGGCCTTCCTGCCTGGGAAGGTGGGTAGTCGCCTCTGGGCTCAGGTTCCTGGGGCTGCAGTGAGAGGTAGGCTGGGCCCCACCCCCATTCAGTCAGTGCCTCTGGGAGCCTGGGGCTGCCCGTAGCGTCTGCCCTGCTGGGGGCGGGTGTCTGGCTCTGCCTTCTCTGCCCAGTCCCCTCTCTGGAGCAGGTAGCCCCACTGAGTGACAACTGTCCGCGGCTAATCCGCTCCCCTCCACCTTCCACCTTCTGGATGACTCCACACGGTGGCCGTATTTCCAGATCTTTCCACTGAGTGACGCCTCCAACAGCCTGGTGGGAGGGTGCTGGCTGTGAGGCTGACCTCCCCCAACCCCCCAGCCTACCCCCCAGCCCACCCTCCAGCCCACCCGTGCCAGGTGCGGTGGTTCGAGGGTCCAGTGCCTGGGCCTGGCTGATGCCGGAGTTTGCGAAATGGCTGGCTCATCTCCTTGTATTCTGCCCTGAGCATTTCATTACAGCGAATGGAAAATAGGAGAAATGAAACTGCTGATATTAGTGATGAGATGCGTCAGGCTCACCAGCTTAAAATAACCGAAGCGAGGCTAGAAACCGCCTGACAGCTGGCGAGGCCGCCTGGCTCCGAGAGGCACTCGGCCGGCTGTGGAGGGAAACATTAAAGACACCGAAACGGTGCAAAAAGAGCATCAAAGATGATGTCTGTGAGGCGCGGCCACCGCGAGGAAGCTGTCGCTTATGAACAAAGGGCCACTCCCGGGTCTCAGAGAGAGAGGCTGTGTGGGTGGCTTGGCGGGGGGCGGGGGGCCAGGCTGGCCAGGTGGGCTTTTGGGGGGCCCTCAGGGGAGCCTGGCAGCACCCATGATGCTGCCAGAGAGCTAAGGTGGGCCCAGCAACTGTCTCCTGGCACACCCACCCTCGTACCCCGGCGTCTGGAGAAGGGTTGTTCCGTAGGCGCCTCCACAGCTGTACGCCGCGCCCAGGCAGTAGATGAGTGGATACCTCCTCCCACCGACTGTACTTGGCCTGAAAGCAGATTCTGGACAGACCCTCCGCTGCCCCCAGACCTCAGGGGTGTCCAGCCTCTGCTGAGTGCTCAGCCTCTGCTCCGGTTGGAATGGGCCTTCCTCCAGGTTCTGAGCTGCGTGGGACAAAGCTGTCCTCTGAGGACTGGGAATGCCACTGTGTGTGCTGACAGGGACCTGGAGCCCAGGAGGTGGGCTCAGAGATGGGAGACGCCATCAGACCCCTAGGGGGTCTTGTCATCACCAAGGCCCTGCCCCTAAAATCTCACCTGCAAGTGCTTGGACTCGTGTCTTGGGGTAGGAGTGGGCACAGGGAGAAACCCAGCTTCCACCTTGCCTTCTCCTTCCTTCTCCATCTCCCACCCCCTGCTCTTGCCCTCCTGTCCCTCTTCCCCCTAATACTACTGAAGGCCCCGGGACAGCGGGAGAGGAGACCTGGTGGGGAGCTCAGCATGGAGCCAGTGGCATGTGGGCGCCAAGGCCGGTCTCTCCACGCTGCCACTCAGCGGAGTGCCTGCAAAGGGACACATGGACCCAGGGAGAGGCCAGGGGTCTGAGCCTGGAAGGCACAAGGCCTGCAGGGATGCGGGGGTTGGGCATGGGGCCTGGACTAGCGGGCTGAACCCACAGGGTCCTGGGACTCCGACCCGAGCAGATAGGAGGTCCCAGGGCTCAGGCCTAGGGTGGGGACTTATGGGGCCTGCACTCCAATATCACGGTCCTGACCTCTTACCAACACCCTCACCGAAACATGTACACTGTCCCCAACACACACACATGATCCGCAACACACACACAGGATCCACAACACACACACACGATCCGCAACACACACACACGATCCGAAACATACACAATCATCTCCAGTACACACACACAATTCCCAAAACACATGATTTACAACACACACAATCCCCAACACAAAATCCACAACACATATAGTCCCCAAGACACACACAATCCCCAACACACACAAAATCCCCAAAACACGCAGTCCTCAACACATACACAGTTCCAATACACAACCTCCAATACACACAAATTCCCCGCAATTTTCCACACGATCTCTAGCACACAATCCTGAACACACAACTTCCAACATGCACAGAATCCCCAACACACACACAAAATCCCCAACACACACACACACAAAATCCCCAACACACACAATCCTCAGCACACACACAATTCCAAATACATACACAATCTCCGATACACAGAATCCCCCCCCACAGTCCTCAACACACACACAAAATTCCCAACACACGCAATCCCCAAAACATACACAATCCCCAACACACACAATCCCAACACACACACACACAACTTCCGACATGCATAGAATCCCCAACACACACACAAAATCCCCGACACACAGAATCCTCAACACACACATGAAGTTCCCAATACAATCCCCAAAACACAATCCTCAACACACACAATCCCCAACACACACACACACAAAGCTCCCAACATGCACAGAATCCCCAACGCATGCACAAAATCCCCAGCACACACAATCATCAACACACACACAATTCCCAATACACACACAATTCCCCCACATACAATTCCCAACTCACACACACAATCCTCAATACACACTGTCTCCAACACACACAATCCCCAACACACACAGAATCCCAGCACACACACAACTCCCAGCATGCACAGAATCCCCAACACACACACACAAAATCCCCAACACACACACATTCCCCTGCACACAATCTTCAGCACACACACAAAATTCCCAACATACACAATCCCCAACACACACACGCAATTCCCCTACAATTCCCAACACACATAATTTCCAACACACACAATCCCTAACACATACATACAACCCCAGTATGCATATTATTCCCAATACACACACAAAACCCAAACACACACAATCCCAACACAATCTAAAACATCCACACAAAATCCCCAACACACACAATCCCTAACACACTGTTCCCAACACACACACAACCCCCAAACATACATGCTCCAACACACGCATGCTCCAACACACGCATGCTCCAACACATGCATGCTCACCAGCACCCACAGTTTCCTCCACGCACACCCTCAGCTCCAGCCTTCTGCCCAGCAGGCTCCCACTGCTATCTTCCGTCACAAGGAGAAGAGGAAGATGGGGTCTGGGGAGTGGGGTGGATGGGGCTGAGGGGCCCTCGGCCGGCTGGCCCTGCCCGCCCCGCCCAGTCTCCTGTCTCACCCTCCCTTCCCAAGGAACCTGGACACCCGTGCTCTTCCTCCTCTGCTTGCTCCTTCCTCACCGAGGGTCATGCTCCCTCCAAGTCACCGGCCCTGGGACAGGAGCGGCCAGGTTCAATCCAGGACATTCAGTTAAAAGATAATTTACAGCAAACAAAGTTGTATGTGACTTTTGTTTGTTTATTTTCTTTTAGAAACAGAGTCTTGCTCTGTCACCCAGGCTGGAGTGCAGCTGTGTGATCTCAGCTCACTGCAGCCTCTACCTCCCAGGCTCAAGTGGTCTTCCTTCCTTGGCCTCCTGAGTAGCTGGGACCACAGGCGTGCACCTTGTGGCCAGCTCATAGCTAACATTTTTTTTGTAGAGATTTGGGGGGGGTGGGGGAGGTCTCCCTATGTTGCCCAGGCTGGTCTTGAACTCTGGGCCTCCAGCAATTCTCCCACCTTGGCCTCCCAAAGTGTTGGGATTATAGGCGTGAGCCACCACACCCGGCTGATGGTTGTATGTTTTGGTTGAGTATTTTATCATTTTCAATTGAGATAATGGTAGATTTACTTGCAGTTCTAAGAAATTACACAGAAGTTCCCTCACACACTTGGCTCAGTTTCTCTGAATGATAACAGTTTGGAAAACCACAGGACAACGTCACAACCAGGTTAATGACTTTGATGCGGGAGGCACCGTTCCCACCCTGAGTCCCCCATTTCTGGTGATGTGTGTGTTTTAAGAATAAACTTTGCTGGGAGGGTGAGTGCAGGAGGCCCCTTGCATGGCTCTTCAGAGTGGCCCCCCCCCGGCCCGCAGGCCCGCAGGTTGGAGCCGGAGAGCAAGGCGCCTCTTGGACAGTGGAGGTGTCTTCAGCAGTAGAATGGCTGGACAGAGGCTGTGTCCCCAGCTGTAGGGACCAGACCCCCACCTGCCTGGGCAGCACAGGGGCAGAGCCACATGGAGCCTTGGGCCATGCATTGCCCGTGGAACTGGGCCCTCAGGCCGCAGGGCCTGGGGTCTGGGAGGTGGCCTTGTTCCTGTCACTGCAGCCAGGAGTTGAGGTCTGTAGGGGGAGGCTGGGCCCCAGCACCTGCCAGGCCACCACTCTCTGCCGGATCCTTTTCCTGTCGTCTCTTTCTCCCTCTCCTCATCACACACACAGAGATGGGATCCTGCTGAGCAAGGATGCCATCCAGTCAAGTTAAGAATAAACTTTTAAAAAATGGAATGAGATATTTCCGGGGCTGCACACATAATGTTGGCACAAGGGAAGGCTCCTGTGTCCCCCGATGGTGAAGCTGCAGAACGTCCTCATCACCACGGGGTCCCTGCTGGTGGCCACGAGCCTGTCCTCCCCTCCATCACGGTTTCATGTCAGTGACGGCCGTGGGAAGGTGCAGTGCCTGTCCTTCTGTGTGCGGTGTGTGTCGTGTGTGGTGTGTGCTGTGTGTGTGGATTCCTTGGAGATGACCCAGTGGGTGTGTTCCGGCAGCCGGTTCCTCTCTGTGCTGAGCCGTCCCCGCTGTGGTGAGGATGTCCGCACCGCAGTTTAGTCAGCCATTCTTCAGTCTAAGTACGTCCGGGTGGACTCCAGTTCCTGGCGACTATGAATAAATGCCCCGGAAGCCCTCTGTGGGCCAGCTAGCTCAGGCTCTGGGGGCTCCCGGGCTGCTTTCCGAGACAGGGGCCTTGCCCTCAGAGCCCCAGAGAAGGAGCCCTCCCGTGCTCGCCCTGGAGTTTCCTAGGGGGCCTGCCTGTCATGACACATGGCGCCATGGCGCCCAGCTCACGGCAGCGATGAGACGGGGCATCATGAGCTGGAACAGGAGCCAGCACCAATGGAAAGTGGTGGGGAGGGGATTTCCCTCGCTCTCTCGGCCCGAGGGAAGTTTCCATCCACGCAGGGACTCAGGGACGCAGGGTCGGGCTGGGGAAGCACAGGAAACAGCAGGACCATCCCGAAACTGCCTCTGCAGTGGGAGGCCACAGGTGCTGGGCTGGGGGGTGGAAACGATGCCGCGGCCGGCCGGGGCCAAGGGCACCCGTGTGGAGAGGCAACGCCTGATTCACAGCCATTTCTGAGGTTGGAACAGGAAATGGTTAATAGTGTTTGCAAATAAAAATGCTGCTCTATTCTGTTTTCGAAACATTTCCCAGAAGTTGAAAATGAACACGCAATTTGTCTGCCCAATTTAAGAATAAACTTTTAAAAAATGGAATGAGATATTTCCACAATTTATTACACATAAGAATAAAAACAGTTGGGTTTTTTGTTAAGACGGGGGCCAGGTGACTTCTACCCTCCCCTGCTGTTTTCTAAACTTCCTAGAATGTGGTTAGTAGTTTAATGTCGATTTATGTTTTAAATCTCCCAGTGTGTGTGTGTGTTGTGTTGTGTGTAGTGTATGTGTTGTGTGTGGTGTGCATGGTGTGTGTGTTATGTTGTGTGTGTGTTTTATGTGTGGTGCCTTCTCACTCCAGGGCAGTGGGTGTCACTCAAGCTCTGCAGCAGGCTGAGCAGCAGTGAGAGGCCGAGGGGCGGGATGCCGGGAGGGTGAGCGCAGGAGGCCCCTTGCATGGCTCTTCAGAGTGGCCCCCCCGGCCCGCAGGCCCGCAGGTTGGAGCCAGAGAGCAAGGCGCCTCTTGGACAGTGGAGGTGTCTTCGGCAGTAGAATGGCTGGACAGAGGCTGCGTCCCCAGCTGCGGGGACCAGACCCCCACCTGCCTGGGCAACACAGGGGCAGAGCCACACGGAGCCTTGGGCCACGCATTACCCGTGGGACTGGGCCCTCAGGCCGCAGGGCCTGGGGTCTGGAAGGTGGCCTTGTTCCTGTCACTGCAGCCAGGAGTTGAGGTCTGTGGGGGGAGGGTGGGCCCCAGCACCTGCCAGGCCACCACTCTCTGCCGGCTCCTTTTCCTGTCGTTTCTTTCTCCCTCTCCTCATCACACACACAGAGATGGGATCCTGCTGAGCAAGGATGCCATCCAGTCAGCTGACCCGCCCTCTGGCCCCACTGAGCCTTGGCTTCAGCTCCTCTCTCGCTGGGATGTGCTGCATCTGCCCCTCAGGCCCAGGCTGAACGGCCTTCCCTGTGGGAGACTGTGGTGGGACTCCCCAGCCTGCCACCTGCCCTCCCCAGAAACTGAGCTCAGGAAGGCGGTACCAGTGTGTGAGGAAGCGTCCCCAGAAGGAGAGCACGTGTCTGCGGGGAGAGGGAACGCTAAGCCACTGAGCCGGGTGGGCGGCGGTGCTGAAGAGGCCCCCAGCTCCCCCGATAGTTTTTTCCCAGGTCTGATCCCCCATCCCCATCCCACCCCGTCCTGGAGAGGTCCCTCGGGGAGCCTGGCAGGGAGTGGGGTCGGAAGGCGTTTGCACCAGGCCTGGGTCCTAGAGCCTGATGCTCACATCAGGTCCCGTGGCTAGCTCCAGGTGGGTGCTGATGCAGGGGCCCAAGGAGGACCGTGGCACATGTTGCAGGGACCCATGGGTGCTGCGCAAACCTGGCCTCTTCCAGCCCCGGTAAAGACGCAGGAGCAGGTGAGCTTGTGGCTGGCTGACCTGTTAAACACCAGGTAAGCAGCTCTTGCAGGGCGTGGCTTGTGGGTTTGGGAGAGACACATGGGCAGCCAGATGGAGGTGTGGAGAAGCTGCCCTCTCTGCTGTCCACTGCCCGGGCCTCTGGAGGTCTTCTGGGATGGGTCTAAGGGACAGCCAACGATTCTTGAGCAAAGAATGTCGGGGTAACCAGCCCCCTGCATTTCAGAAGGGTCAGAATTGCCATCCAAAAGGTTATTTTGAGTGATTATGGTTAGTCATCATGCCCAAATCTTTTCCCTAATCTTAGAGCCAGGTGTGGCCTCCAGGGCTGAGGAGCCTGCGGGGGGAGGTGGTGGGGGTTACTGGCAGTCAGGGCTGTGGCCCCAGCGTGGTGGGGAACGGCCAGGAAACGCTGGCTCTGGGGGGCTGTGGAGGGCGGGAGGAGGTCCTCTGTGGGGGCCTTGTGGACCGAGGCTCTTGGAGACAAGCGGGAAGCCGGTGTCTCTCAGACCACTGCAGGCACAGGACCAGGGTCACAAGGGGCCCACACACGCACAGTGGCCCTGAACCAGCCAGCAAACCCCAGGACCTCAGGTGCCCCCCGGCACGTGAGTTAGGATCACTCAGCTCGCTGCGTGATGATCCAGAGTGCCAGAGATCAGAGCCTCAAGACCACAGCGGCAGCTGGCTAACTTCTTGTGTGAACAGGAAACCCAGAGGCAGGCGACCCTCCGGCTGTCACCATGGCTCCAGGCTCCCGCCTTCCTGCTCCTTGGGCTCACAGCTCCAAGCATGAGGCAGGTGTGAGACAGCTGCTGGAGGGCGGCCATCATCCGGGCACTGACGGACAGAAGAAAGGGAAGCTGGAGGAGAAAAGCAGGGCCTTCCCCAGCCGGCCGCCCTACGTTGAGGGGCCTTTCCAGAGCCCGTCCCAGTGACTTCCTCTTCTATCTTGCAGTTGAACCTAGCTGCATGGCAGAAAGAGGCCATGCATTTCAGAAGGGCCAGAATTGCCATCCAAAAGGTTATTTGATAAAATTGCATGATAGCCGCAAACTGGAAGAATACCAAGTGTTCAGCAAAGACGATTTGAAAGGGTCAGAAGAAAGGAAAACGATGACAGCAGTGCAGTCGCTTGCTAGGGTTAGCTGCAGAATGGACAGAGACCAAGAGAGAACGTGTGGAGTGGTAGAAAAAAGAGAAGAAATGGTTCAGTGTGCAGGGCAGACATGGCAGGATGGGAGGTGTGAGGAGAGCCAGGCGGCCCAAGGCTGTCACGGGTGGACCTGCGCTGAGCTTTCCACATCGCCGTGCGGGGATTGGCAGCCACCTTGCCCCTGTGCTTCCCAGCTCCTTCTCGACTCACCCTTTCTTGTGCCCTGACGGGTGGTTGCCAGGCACAGCGATGATGCTGAATCTCACACACTAAATCACCTGCAAAGGCGTGAGAAGCTGGGCACACACATGAAGTGTTTGTGTAAAGCTCAGAAGCTGCGCAGCTCAAGGGCTGGGTGAGGGAGGCATCATAGGCATGAAGGATCCTACCTGATCCCCACAGGCACGGCCAGGCCGGTGGCACCTCTGCCAGGAGGGCGGGGGTGGGGGCCAAGGGCTGAAATCTGGAGGGAACTGGCTGGTTCTGGAGGCTCGCGAGGTTTTGTTTCTTCCTCTGGGAGGTGGTGACCTAAGACTGTAGAATAATTTCTGAAGCTCTGCATTTGTTTTAGGCATTTTATGTAAATATTTTCTATTTCTCATGAGTAAAGAGCTTAGGAGAACACACCCATGGGACAATTTGCAATGATACATGTTCCATAAAGTTCTTCATAGCTTTGTCTTCAATGCTTTGTGTGAAAAGCATTATTGCTGTGTGTAGAGAGAAGCTGGCTGAGTAAGCTACATGATAGCCACAGCTGAAAAAATACTAAGAGTTCAGCAACAGATGAGTGGGGCCCCTGTTCCTGATGCCCAGCAGAAAGAGGAGGCAGTGGATGGTTCCTGAGTTTGATCTGTGGAAACACCAGGGCCTCTGCACAGACCGGGGGAGGGCCCTGCGTGTCCATGGGCCCAGCACAGTGCTGCCACAGGGAGGCTGTCAGGGTCACGGAGATGGCATTGTATTGTATTTTTCCTTGCTGATTCCCATTTCTCTGAGACAAATCTGGTTGCCATGGAGAGTGTGCTGTTGTCAAGGTGGCTGATTGGCTGGTGCTGGAAGCGGGCGCTTCCTTGGGTGCCCTGGTGGCTGCAGCCCCCAGCCTGCACTGTGGAGCTGGACAGCAGCATGGATGGGGCCGGAACAGACGTGTGGGCCAGCATCTTCACCCTGATCATGGCCAAGAGGAAGCCCTGGGACATTTGGGTTCTGCTACCTGAGCACAGCCTGGTCCCAGGACGCCAGTACCTGCTGGTGGGGCTCTCGAGGTGTGGCTGGAGGCTGGGGACCCTGGGGAGGGAGGGGCTTAAGGTGCTTTTCCACAGGCCCTTGGGTGGCCCGAAAGGCTGGGTGGGGCTGTCGGGCCTTGTCTTGTCCCTGAGACGGGAGGGTGGGGCTGGGTGCTCCTTTTCGGTCTCAGCGCCTGCCCCTCTATGCTGGCACACAGCTGCTGACGCAGGGTCCTGGGGGAAGACATGGCGGGTGCCTTAAGGAGGTTTTGTCTCCCTCCCTTGGCTCCTCGGGCCTGTGCTCCCCCTGGACACAGGCTCATCTCTGGTTTCCATGGTGCTGCCGTGACCTCGCAGCCGTCTGCTGGCCACACCTCGGGGGTGTTTGGCTCTGATCGGGAGCCTGGGGTGGCTGTGGGTCACCTGTGAGCCTCATGGGCTGTCGTCATGGTGGCATGATGTCAGTGTAGCAGGGTGGACTGTTCCATCCCCAGCTCTGCCAGGTGCCTGCCGGCAGGGGAAAGACAGCTCCACAGCCTCGCAGACTTCTGGCCCAACAGGCCCTCAGGATGATGGCTGGTCAGTCCCTCTGTGGGAATGCTCTGGCAGAGGGGCCGTTGTCCTGGCCTTTGACACAGCTCCCCAGTGCCTGAACCCCCTGGGGCCCTGTGTGTGCAGAATCCTGGCTTTTTCAGAGGTTAGCAGAGTAATAACCCATGCTGAGGTCTGGGAAGTGCTTGGAAGCACGTCACTGTCCCCACAGCCAGGTAGAGAGGCTCTGGGCCGCCAAGGTTGTGGACGGGGCTGCAGCTGGGCCCAGCTGGGGAGAGAACTGAGGCGGCCGCGCCCCAACACGCAGCCCCAGTGCCTGTGGCTTCGACAGGCTCCTCAGTCCCATTTAAACAGTCAGCAGTTCCTCCAGTGTGACCGTGTCTACCGCCTCTGTGGCCACTGTGGCTGGAGGCCGCAGGCAGGGCTGTGCGGCTGCAGCACATTCTGTCATCCACAAAGTTCCACTGCTTGGCACTGAAGCAGAGCCTCTCACTGGTGCAGGGTTCCCCAAAGCTCACAGCTGCTTGTGTGGCTACTGAATGGTCGCCGGTCTGGTGACCGCTGTGGACAAGCCAGCTCCCCCACCCCTGTGCTCTCCCCAAATCTCCCCTTGCTGGTGATGCCCAGCAGGGCTGCCTGGGCCATGACCACAGGCTCCGAGACATCTTTCCCTTCAGCTAGCAGGTGACGGGGGGATGGCCTCCCCTCATTCGGGACAGGGACCCCCACTTGCTGAGCCCCCAGCGACAGCCCCAGACCCATGCCTTTTTCCTCCTAAGTGTGTTAGCAGGCCTGCCTCTTCCTGTGTTAACCCCAACTCACAAAACAACCAGCAAAGCCGCAGCAGCAGCGGGTGCGACGCCTCACAGAGGCCAGGCCGGAGCGGGTTTTGCTGCCAAACTGCTGATAAGTTCACTTTGCTTCTCAGCGTTCCAGATGAGCGGGTTGCAGGCTGGAATGCGTGGGCCTGCCTTTGCCTGTGTGTGGCCGAGGGGCCGGCAGTTTCAGAACCTCGACACAGGCAGGAGCAGGTGCTGGGTTGCCTTGGCTGCGGCCCTGGTGGCTGGCAGGTGAGGTTTGAGGTTTGAGTGTGGGATGTGGGGCAGGGGGCGGTGAGGAGCTGGGGCCAGATGGGCAAGGAGGCTGAAGAGCAGAGCGCGAGGGCTGGCCGTGTGGCTTTGGCTTTTCCCCCTCCACTCACCTGCGCCTCTTCCGCCCCCGCCCCCCACCCCACAGGCTCCAGTTCAGCCGCTGTCCAGGGGCCTGGGCCTTAGCCCACCTGCAGGTCCTCTTCCACCTGTGGTGGGACCGGGCCGGCCGCCTGGGGCTGGTGAGGGTGTGCGTCTGGAGCCAGCGATGCAGGTGGTGCTGGGTGCCCGGGGGCTGCCAGGTGAGCTCCCTGGGCACGAGGCCCTTCCTCTGCAGGCTGGTCTTGCACATTCTGAAGGACTGCTATAGAGAGGGCCTCAGCCTGAGCCTGCTCACCAGGGCAGCCTATGAGGGCTGCTGCGAGGCCTGTGAGCTGGGGGTCTGCTTCTTCCAGAAGGCCCCACACCCTGCCTGGAGCGCCAACACCACAAAAGGCACCTTCCCTGCCATGGCCTGGAGTGGCACCACCGCTGCCTCCAAGGGCAAACAGCTGCCTGCCCCTGGCGACAGCCTCAGCAATGATGGCGGTGTCGCTGCCATCCCCTTCTCCCTTGTGGGTGCCGGCAATGACCAGGCGTCCATCACTGAGGGCTTTGCCACTCCTGTGGGGGCCTCCCTCCTTTGTGACCAGCAGCCCTGGGGGCCCCATTACTGGCCAGGGCTCCATCGACCTGTCTGGGGATTCTGTGGCCATGTGGGGGGGCAAAGGCTTCCGGGTAGACTTTGGAGACCCTGTCTTCCATGGCCCCAGCCTCCTCGGTAGCAGCATCCAGACCTTCTAGCTCAACGGCTTCCTCTTCGAAAGCTGGGGTCCCTCTGCAGCCCTGTTGGTGTGGCCTAGGGCCCCGGGCCCTGCCTCCCTCAGCAATGGCCCGGTCTCTGCGGGGAAACTCATGCCAACCCTGTTCTACTGTGTGGGTCTCTCCGCCGGTGGGTTGACCTCACCCTACCCTCCTCCGTCACCGACACCTTCACCAATACCGCCAGCAACTGCGCCCTCTCGGAGGCCACCAATGGCCCTGTGGCCACTGATGAGGCCTCGGTCACCTTACCCTTCAACTTTACTGATGTCAAAGGCGCCGTTGCTGAGATGGTTGAAGGCGACAGGAAGGAAGGAGGTGGCCAGGGCCTGGTCCCTGCGGGTCACGACCCCCTTCTAGAGACCAACGCTGGTGGCCTTGCCTCCCAGGTCAAGGGCTCCCTAGGTCCTCCTTCTTCCCTGCTGACGTCCAAGGCAAAGATTCTTTTACTGACATCACCCAAGGCAGAGAAGAAAGGCGGCCTCCTCACCGCGGGTCACCACCTCCCTCCGGAGGCCAACGCTGAGGGCCCTGTCACCGTGAGTGAGGGCCCCATCATCATTACTGAGGGCTCCATCACCTTCTCCATCTTCGATGTCATAAAGCGCAAGGCCTGGCCACATTGCTGACGGCGCCCAGGGCAGTGGCTACGTCACCCAAGGCTACTACTGGAAGAGATGGCTGCGGTCCAGGCTCCACAAGGCTCACTGTGGGTGCCGCCGGGAGGAAGATGGGCACCCTGTCCGCACCTGCCGCAGGCCGCACGCCGAGCCCTACGAGGACTTCCGGATCTGGGTGTCCATGACCGTGTGTGCCTTCGGGCTGATGTGCCTGTGCCGGCTGAACCCTGGCATCTACCCGCAGCAAGTGTGACGCCCGCCGCGCTCCAGCAATCCCCACCGCCGAGACCCCGCCACTGCCTCAAAACTCCGCCCCGCCCCCGAGACCCGCCCCCTCCCCGCCTCCGAGACCCACCCCTGCCTCAAAGACTCCGCCCCACCTCCGAGACCCCGCCCCTGCCTCAAAACTCCGCCCCGCTCCCGATACCTGTCTTGAGACCCCGCCCCGGTCAAAGACCCCGCCCCTCACCTCCGAGACCACGCCCCCGCCAGCAGCCCAGCCCCTCCTGTCTCTCGCCCCAGGTGGTTTTGTAGGTCTGCCCTGAGCTGTGTCTGTGAGCTCCACGCACTTTCTCAGTGTGTACCTCCAATAAAACCAAGCAAAGCCAGCTACGGAACCCTCCACCCTGGGCGGTTTCCAGGAGGAGATGCGCGGTGGGCTCGCCCTTCGGTCCCTCCACTTTGCAGGGACCCCTCGCCCCCACCGTTTCTTCCCTTGGGAGAGCTCCCTCTTGGGGTTTCCAAATGCCTGGCTCTGTGTGGCTCCTGGGATAGGACAGGAAGCTCCGGCTCCGTGTCAGGTGCAAATTAACCTCCCTCCCGTGAGGACCCAGGGGCTGTGGAAGAGGCCACTGGCCTCTTTCCGGGAATGACTCAAGCCCCCGCTGGGACTGGCTTGGCACGCCCCTCCCTCTTCCCTCTAGCCTCAGTGTAGCCTCGGGAGGGCTCTTGGCACCTCTCATCAGAGGGGTGGGGGGCCACGGTGGGGCTCCGAGGCTGTCTGGGTTTGAGAGATTCTATCCATTGCAGATGACAGAAAACCCTCCTGTTACAGCCACACACTGGATTTTCATTTTAAAAGAGCCCAGTTTCTATTTCCTAGGGGTGGGGGTGTTGCCGGGTGGGGGCCTGACAGTGGCAGTGGCTGGGTCCGACTGTCTATCCTCTTCCAGGCAGGGTCAGCTCCGACGCTCCTGGGAGGTTGGGAACTTCCTGGGGAGACCCCGAGTTTTCGACCCGCGAAGCCCTGCCCTGTAGAAAGGGGAAACCTCGTCCAGGGCCCTTGGTGGGGAGGGGGACAGCATCTCCGGAGATTCTGCCTGCCAGGCTGGCCTGGACCCCTGGGGCGTGGGGGTGGGGGCGTGGAAGGGAGGGCGTTCTCGCACACAGCTGTGGTGGGCTCGGGTGCAGGCGGCGCAGGGCTTCAAGGGGAAGCAGCAGACTCTCTCCTCCCAACCCGGCACCCTCTGCTTACCAGGCACGTACAGAGATCCCGGCGGCCTCAGGAGGTTCCATCCTACACAGAGGCTGGAGACAGCAGCCAACCTGCCAGTGACACGACCAGGCGTCCCAGGAGAAACCTGAATCCAGGCCCTCGGGGCCCAGCTGCAGGATGGCAGCCCCAAACGCTGACTCACTCAGAGGGCCGGAGCCAGCCTTGCCCTGGCGTGGGTTTTGGAAATCTGCTTTCCTATAGTGGGGCGAGGGCTCTGGAGGTCTCCTGGGTGGGAAGTTGGGCCACTTCAGTTCGATAGCTGGTGTCCCTCCCCACCCCTGCTACCCAGCATTGTGGGGCAGTGGTCTCAGGGGCTGTGGGTGGGGGACTCACAGAAGCACCCGAGGCACAAGGCAGGGGGCATAAGGCCCTGACCTCACCCCTGGGGCCCAGAGGGTGGGTGAGTTCTAGGCCTGAGGGCAGGGAGGGCACGAGGAGGCTGTGTTGTGGGCTCACACCCCTGCCCTCAGCTCCACCCACCCAGGAGCCTGTGCACAGATGTCCCCATGTGCACACAAGAGGGGCCACCCTGCAGTGCCCTCACTCGGTGGCCTGGCTACTAAAATGTGGAAGAGGAAGAGGGGAAGGCTGGCGCCTGGCCCACAACCCACCCAGCTCAGCCTTCAGGATGACCCTCGGCCTTCCCCTGCATCCGACCGTGGCCGGACACAGGACACGCCTGTCACCTGGGACCCCCTTCCCTGTGGGCCCTGGGAGGGGGCAGCCTCAGCAACGGTGGGGACTCCCACCTCTCCCAAGGGGCTTCCTTCTGTCTGCCGCAGGGCTGCCCGGGCCTTCCTGCGCTCAGGGTCCTTCTCCCCCACCCAGGCATCGCGCCCTCGCCGCCCCCCCGCTCCCCCCCACCCCGGCCAGGCTGCAGGCACCCGTCCAACATGGAGGAACCCCCTCAGGGCTTCCAAAGGCACCCGGGACCCCCCAGCTCCGCGGCCACCCCTCAACTCCCTGGCCTGCTTGACCCCGACCCTCTGGCCTCCCCAGCGCCCCTGCCCCGCCCTTCAGCCCCCACTCCCCAGGCCCCTCGCTCCCCATCCCAGATCCACTCCCTTCCTGGTTCTTCTTTCCTGCTCCTCCCCCAGCCCCTTTCTCGGTCCTCGCAGCCCCCTCCGCGTCCCTCTCCCGCCCCCCTCCTTCCCTCTTCCCCTCCCCACCTCGTTCCTCCCCCTCCACCCCCCTCCCTCTTTCGCGCCCGGCGCACTCCGCGCTGTCCTGCGGCTCCCCCTTGTGGCCGCGGGGAGGACGCCCAGACCGCGTTGCGGAGGGAGGCCCGGGATGGGGGATCTCGGCCGGGTCCCTTGTCCTCACTGATGTTGAGCTGCTTCTCGGCTTGATCAGATGAGTTCGTTAAAACTGACAGACTACCCGTCATCAGCATTATGAACATCGATCTCATTAGTAATTGTATTATTATTATTATTATTTTTTGAGACAAAGTCTCACTCTGTCGCCAGGCTCCCGGCTGGGGTGCAGTGGCACAATCGGCTCACTGCAAACTCCGCCTCTCGGGTTCAAGCGATTCTCAGCCTCCCGAGTAGCTGGGACTACAGGCGCGCGACCACCATGCCCAGCTAATTTTTGTATTTTTAGTAGAGACGGGGTTTCACCATGTTGGCCAGGATGGTCTCGATCTCTTGACCTTGTGATCTACCCGCCTTGGCCTCCCAAAGTGCTGGGATTACAGGCTTGAGCCACCGTGCCCGGCCAGTAATTGTATTTTATTTCATTAATTGTTACATTCACCAGTAAAAATGGGAGCGAAGGCACTGTGTGCACCCGCTGGTGTGCGGCTCAGCCCTGAAGGCAAACACGCTGCTGGGAGTGCTGAGGGCGCTGTCGCCGTCACCGGAAAGCCGAGGCACAGACACCAGCCCAAAAGCCAAGCGCAGGCCTGGCGCTCACATGCCAGGCAGCCCAAGCTGAGCTCTCACCCTGAGCCACACCTGAGTTCTCACCTGAGGCTCCTGTATGGGTTTGAGTGGCCAGGTTGGGCCTAATATGAGGTAACAATAACGACTTTTGGCAACTTAGTTGATAGTAGAGACATTTCATATCAGAGTCAAAGAAGATGAGAGGCAGACACATTTTTAAAGTAATTGCTATTAGATCAGCCAAAGTTGAGGGGACTCAGAGTGTGAATAATTTCCTGATTTTGGGTACATTTTCTCGTGTTGGGGGTCAGCTCGCCCAGCGTCAGGTGTGGTTCTCGCCAAAACCAAGTCCAGCCAGAGCGTGTGAGGCTGAGCACAGGCTTGGGGTCCCTGGGAGGGTCTGGCTGGAGCTCCGACAGCAGCTGGCATAACCCTGCAGTGGATAAAGCGAATGTGGCTCTAAGTGCCTGGGGTCCGTGCTGATTTCCATAAGTGCCTGTTGTAGGGTTGGGTTAGGATCAGGTTGGTCCCACTGCACCCTGGGTATTCAGGTGCGCAGGCAGGCCTTGGCCTTGGACAACAGCTACCTGGGTGGGCGGGGGCTGCTTCACCCGCAGCTTTGGCGGCTTTGGCGAGGAGAGTGGAATGCCAGAGAAGTCCTCAGGGGGAGTGGCCACATGGTGACTTGGGTCCCAGGCTGGCCGGTAGGCGGAGGGTCACACCACCTGGGTCTCAGTGGGAGCACCTGGCTGGAGCAGAGGTTTGGAGATCTCCTTCCCTTTCCTTCTGGGGCTTGGGACTTTGTACCCCTGTGCAAGAGAGGCAGCAGAAGGCTGGGGTCTTGGTGATGCCTCCACCCTGCCCCCAGCCTTTGGGGGAATGTCTCCACTTGTTACAGCAAATGTCCCGGTTTTCCTGGGATTTTGGGGGCTAAATTGGAGGCCCTTCTCTTTTTCCCCAAGTTCTCCAGCATACTTAGAAGCATCTGCCTACTCAGCTCCACCCCTAAATGTTTCCCTTGATGTCCAGGGCCAGGCATCCTATGGGGACTTGATTTAAGATGTCTTCAGGCGACAGTCTGAGTGCCTGTGTACCTGAGCTCTCACCTGAGTCTCCTGTATGGTTTGAGTGGCCAGGTTGGGCCACCCTGATACCCCTGGAAACAGAGCATGAATGTCTTTAAATCTAGTTGGAGCAGAGAGCCAGTTCCAGACCCCCAGAGCCATCTAGAGAACTCATTACTAGGGTCCTGGCCCTGGGACCACTCCAGGGCCAGTTCTGTGTCTGTCCGGGTGTGATCTGGGAGTGCAGTGAGGGATATGGATGTGGGATTGGTACAGGACTCCCACCTGCAGAAGAAAGGAAGGAAAGGGAGGGAGGGGAGGGGAAGATAGGGGAGGAACAGTCTTTCTAGCTGGGGCTGGGCTGGGCTGCTGGGGTCATTTGGGAAGAAAGGTGATTCGGAATCAGGGAGACCCAGGGTGCCCTGGGGCCAACATCTGAGGAGAGCGACAGGGATTTCCTCCCTCCACGGCCCCAGGTGGCCTTGGTGGGTGCAAGCAGAAAATTACATTTTCAAGCCCAGTTCCAACCCAGAGCTGGTTCTTAGACCCAGCTTCGATCAAGGGGGACCAGGGAGGCAGCAGAAGTTCCTGCGAATCCAATGAGAGTGACTGGCAGACACCCCACATCTTTTCTCGCAGACTGAAGGCCACCCCGCAACTCAGGAGCCCTGGTGAAGCGGCTGGGGAAGACCCTCAGCCCTGGGAGAGTCCCTATGGGGGTGAGCAGGTGGGCTGCCCCTTGGGGTGCCACTCATTTCAATGGAAGTTTTTAAAGAAAAGGCGCCGTGACTATGAGCACCCATTTGGGAGCCTGGTGTCACCCTCACA